TTCTTACCACACTGACTACATTCACATTGTTTGTCTGTAGTGTGGGTTTTCTCATATGGATGACCATCTGGGCTGGTGTTAAGTATTTTCCCACAGTTATTACGGTCACAGTATTTCTCCTCTGTATGAGCTCTCTGCTGACTATAACTGACCACCTGTGATTTCCATAAATAAATGTCTTTGCAGTTACAGTCAAGGGGATCTAAAGATTCTTTTAACTGGCCATTCTGGCAAGTTGCCTCACCACTTAACAATGGTGAGGCGAGTTCTGGTCCATGAGACACCAGTTTAACTTGAAGGTTCTCTGAACAACTTTCCCCCCTTCTCACTTTTTTCTCAGTGCCTTCTTCCATTACAAAGAGATGTTTGCTTTCCTGATGATCCTGAGGCTCATTCTTACAGAACTTCACTGAAGAGTTTTGTGTGTCTATTTGGCTTGGGACTTTCAAAGGTAAATATGTTTCACTTTCAATGTTTTTGAAATCATCATTTTGAAGAGTCATCATATCGTCCCTGTTTCTCAAAATATAAGAAGATGCTTCTCCCCACTGTTGACAAGGGGAAAGATCTAGTTCAGGCTCCCCATCCACTTCCCCTTGATGATTCACAATACAGTCCCGACTCCCAGTAATTATACTGGCCATCCCTTCCAAAATTAGCCAGCAGGAAAGCTCATGTAACAGATCCTAAGTGCTTTCTGCTGAAGATTCTCCACAGAATTTTCACTCAAGTCTCCTAGGGAACAAAGAGAATTCAGTGGTAAGAACAAAGGGTAGACTTCAAGATTTCAAGAATGGGAGTGCCAAAGGCTTGAAGGCTTAATAACCAGGAAAATATTCAGCTTGTCTTTATAGTCATTCATGTGCTTTGGGTTAATGTCAGGTACATTTGTATCTGGGTACAAGGCAGAAATTTTCTCTTGGCTTTTAAGCATAGCCAAGGAAATTCTTCCCTTACTAATCCTACAAAAGACTGTAAGTCCTATATCCTTGCTGACAATAACATTTCATCTCATCTCACTTCATTTTATTTTATTTTTTGAGACAGAGTCTCACTTTGTTGCCCAGGCTGGAGTGCAGTGTGTGATCTGGTCTCAGTGCAACCTCCGTCTCCCAAGTTCAAGCAACTTTCTCACCTTAACCTCCCAAATAGCTGGGATTACAGGTGCATGCCACCATGCCCAGATAATTTTTGTATTTTTAGTAGAGACATGGTTTTGCCATGTTGACTAGGCTGGTCTTGAACTCCTGGCCTCAAGTGATCCACCTGCCTCAGGCTCCCAAAGTGCTGGGATTACAGGTAATGAGCCACCATTCCTGGCCTACTTTCCTTTAAGTAAATATGCATTTAATTGGTATTCTGCTTTCATAGGTGTTGGGGATACAAGGAAGAAAACAGAAATCCTTTTGGTTAACAAGCTAAAGTTTCCTGGGAAGAAAGACAAATATATCAAACAATGATAATACTAAGTGAGTGGTGTAGATGAATGTATAGTACAATAGAGTACAAGAAATGTATGCACAACCAGCCATGAAGGCATAGAAGAGGAACACTCACCTCAGACCCTGGGGTTTAGGAAGACTTAAAATGACAGGAAAAAAAAGAGAAGTGAAATGTGGAAGAAAATTCGGCAACCAACAGATTGGGAAAAAATTTTTGCAGTTTACCCATCTGACAAAGGGCTGATATCCAAAATTTACAAAGAACTAAAACAGATTTACAAGAAAAAAACTAACAAGCCCATTCAAAAGTGGGCAAAGGATATGAACAGACACTTTACAAAAGAAGACATACGTGAGGCCAACAAACATATGAAAAAATGCTCATCATCACTGGTCATCAGAGAAATGCAAATCAAAACTACATTGAGATACCATCTCACGCCAGTTAGAATGGCGATCATTAAAAAATCTGGAGACAACAGATGCTGGAGAGGATGTGGAGAAATAGGAACACTTTTACACTGTTGGTGGGAGTGTAAATTAGTTCAACCATTGTGGAAGACAGTGTGGAGATTCCTCAAGGACATAGAAATAGAAATTCCATTTGACCCAGCAATCCCATTGCTGGGTATATATCCGAAGGATTACAAATCGTTCTACTATAAGGACACGTGCACACGAATGTTCATTGCAGCACTGTTTACAATAGCAAAGACCTGGAACCAACCCAAATGCCCATCGACGATAGACTGGATAGGGAAAATGTGGCACATATACACCATGGAATATTATGCAGCCATCAAAAACGATGAGTTAGGGTCCTTTGTAGGGACATGGATGAACCTGGAAACCATCCTTCTCAGCAAACTGACAGGAGAGCAGAAGATCAAACACCGCATGTTCTCACTCATAGGCGGGTGTTGAACAATGAGAACACATGGACACATGGAGGGGAGCACTACACACTGGGGTCAGTTGGGGGGAAATAGGGGAGGGACGGTGGGGGGTGGGAAGCTGGGGAGAGATAGCAAGGGGAGAAATGCCAGAGGTAGGTGATGGGGAGGAAGGCAGCAAATCACACTGCCATGTGTGTTCCTATGCAACAATTTTGCATGTTCTTCACATGTACCCCAAAACCTAAAATGCAATAAAATAAATAAATGGGGAAAAAAAAATTACAAGTGGCTTCTTATGAAGAAGATAAAAAGGTAACAGTGGTGAAGAATGTGCCCCAGAGGGGAAGTAAGAAGCTAGAGCACAGGGCTCAGTGTCTAATTATAACGACCTTAGGGTTAAACCCTACAGGGATTGAAAACTATTAAAGGATTTAAATTCAGAGTGAAATGATTGACTTTGTGACTATAAACACCACTGGAAAGCAAGACTAGGTAGAGAGATGGCCGCTATAACAAATCAGAACAAAAACGGTAAGGATGATGGTTGTGGAGAGAATGGGAGAGATTAATTCTAGATCATGTGATGACAAACTAAACCTAGAAGAGAAAGGAGGTACCAAGCCTGTTCCTTGGGATCCCTGCCTAAGTGACTGGGTATGGTGTTGCTATATAATCTGATAGGAAATGCAAGAGGAAGAAGCTGAAGTAGGGAAGGGAGCAGAAACTCAAATCTGCCTTGTATAATCTGTGGTGTTGGTAGAACATTCTTGCAGCACTGGTCGGTAAGCAGTGAGATATATATAGGTCTGGAACTCCTGTGAGACAACTGTGCTAGGAATATAGAGTTCAGACTTACTGGTATATTAAACAAACAAACAAACAAAATATCCTCAGACTTACTATTCCTAAAGGATAAAGAGCAGATGGACTAGGAGTGATGGAGAAACTAGGGGGAAAAATGTACAGCTCAAATTACGTATAACAGAAGGCTTCTTCATGGACAAAGCATCTTATGAAATTTTAAAAATTCAAATACCAAACTCAGAATCAATAACTACAAAGGGAACACTGACCCCATTTCTCTGGAGTCTATGTCTCAGGAAATAATAAATAAACAATGATAAAGTAAGACATTTCTTAATTCAACCTAGGCATTCCTAGCAGCTGTGCTAGTTTCTGCTGTTAGTAGCACTCTCCCAGCCCGCCCTCATTTTCTTAGAAATATTGGATGGCTAACAGCAGTGGCCTCATATAAAGCCCCTAGAATAAAATAAATAATCTGCTAAAGAAAGACTGCTAATAGCATTAACTGGACCGAAGAGAGAAGCAAAGGTTGAGGTAATGCTAAACCAACACAATGACTGATATTAAGGTACAAAAAAGGAGCAATTGACAACATATGTGCCAAGAATAAAACCTCAAGCTAAATTTTTATTTTTTTTTTGAGACAGAGTCTCCCTCTTGTCACCCAGGATGGAGGTGCAATGGTGCAATCTCGGCTCACTTCAAACTCTGCATCCCGGGTTGAAGCGGGTCCTGCCTCAGCCTCCCAAATAGCTGGGATTACAGGCACCCACCACCACTCCTGGCTAATTCTTGTATTTTTAGTAGAGATGGGGTTTCACCATGTTGGCCAGGATGGTCTTAGCCATCCTGCCTCAGCCTCCCAAACTGCTGGGATTACGGTTGTGGGCCGCTGCGGTTGGCCCTCAAGCTAAACTTTTAATGGTAGTTCTGACAAAGAAGATGCCCAGGGCTGGAAATGAAGAGGCAAGGCATGCCCCCAGATAACTTAGTGTCAAAAGAGGTGGCCTTAAAAATGACTTACACTGCTATGCAGGGGAGCACGGGGACTAGGAGGCCCACCTGAGGCTCAGCCCTAGGCCTCAGCCCACCTACCCGGGGAGTTTCCTGCCTGGGTACTCCCCTTGTCCATGCCTCCAGCCACAAAACAATTCGATTTTTTTTCCCAAAATAAAACCTCGGCTAGCTCTGCCAACTGTCCCCCCACCCAAAAGAAAAAAAAAAAAAAATGGCCTACAATATCCACCATCTGGATTCTTATTACCTCCCTCCTTAGCCCAATCAGCAGAAGTATCCCCTAAAGTAGAACACACATGCCTGCCAAAGCGGTTCAAGCACGGGTTGAGGACACACTCTAGTATCATACTGAGAACACAAGAATTTTCAAAAGATATATAAGGAGACAAAACAGAATTTTTTTTTTTTTGGAGTTGGAGTCTCGCTCTGCCACCTAGGCTGGAGTGCAATGGTGTGGTCTCGGCTCACTGAAATCTCTGCCTCCCGGGTTCAAGCCATTCTCCTGCCTCAGCCTCCCGAGTAGCTGGGACTACAGGCATGTGCCACCACGCCCAGCAAATTTTTTATATTTTTAGTAGAGATGGCGTTTCACCATGTTAACCAGGATGGTCTTGATCTCCTGATCTGGTGATCCGCCTGCCTCAGCCTCCCAAAGTGCTGGGATCACAGACTTGAGCTACCACACCCAGCGGACAAACAAAATTTAAAAGGTACATAATTAAAATTCCAGAAAAACTGGAGTGGACATCACATTTAAACACAATCTAATAATAAAATATTAAACATGCTTTCCAGAGCCTGCGTGCGCATGCACAGAGCGCGCGCGCAGCGGTTGGGCCGTTAGCTGTTCGGCCCTGGGATCCGCCGCGACTCCGCGATCAGCTGGCTCTGAGCCACTAGCCCCGTGAGCACTCGGATTCCAGCCGGCGCCAACGCGCCTGGGGGCATAGCCCGCAGCTGCCAGGCTCACGGCCGGCTGAGCGGGACCCCGCCTCTGCCTCAGCCACCATCGCCGCCGCCGCCTCCTCTTCCTCAGCCGGCGGCGGCCCGGGCCCAGCAACCGTGGCCGAAGACTACTGGGACCCGCGCCTGCGACGAACAGAAGAAGGAGATCGCGCGGCCTCACCCCGGGCCGCCGCCCCAGGCGTCGCCTCGTCGGCCCCACAGCTCTGAGGTTGCTCGAGCGCCCCCGCCGATCGCCATGGATCGGATGAAGAAGATCAAACGGCAGCTGTCAATGACACTCCGAGGTAGCCGAAGCATAGACAAGACCAATGGTGCCACTGAGCAGATAGGCCTGGATGAGAGTGGTGGTGGTGGTGGCAGTGACCCTGGAGAGGCCCCCACACGTGCTGCTCGTGGGGAACTTCGCTCTGCACCAGAGACTGTGCACGAGGACTTGAAGATGGGGTCTGATGGGGAGAGTGACCAGGCTTCAGCCACATCCTCGGATGAGGTGCAATCTCCAGCGAGACTGCGCATGCAAAACCATCCCCCATGCAAGATCTCCACCGAGGACATCCACAAACACCTATCGCTACCAGCTGACATCCGGCTACCTGAGGGCTACCTTGAGAAGCTGACCCTCAATAGCCCCATCTTTGACAAGCCACTCAGCCGCCGCCTCCGTTGTGTCATCCTGTCTGAGATTGGCTTTGGGAAACTGGAGACTTACATTAAGCTGGACAAGCTGGGCGAGGGTACCTATGCCACCGTCTACAAAGGCAAAAGCAAGCTCACAGACCACCTTGTGGCGCTGAAGGAGATCAGACTGGCACATGAAGAGGGGACACCATGCACTGCCATCCGGGAAGTGTCTCTGCTCAAGGATCTCAAACACGCAAACATTGTTACGCTGCATGACATTATCCACACGGAGAAGTCCTTCACCCTTGTCTTTGAGTACCTGGACAAGGACCTGAAGCAGTACCTGGATGATTGTGGGAACATCATCAACATGCACAACGTGAAGCTGTTCCTGTTCCAGCTGCTCCGAGGCCTGGCCTACTGCCACCGGCAGGAGGTGCTACACAGAGACCTCAAGCCCCAGAACCTGCTCATCAACGAGAGAGGAGAGCTCAAGCTGGCTGACTTTGGTCTGGCCCGGGCCAAGTCAATCCCAACAAAGACGTACTCCAATGAGGTGGTGACACTGTGGTACCGTCCCCCTGACATCCTGCTTGGGTCCACGGACTACTCCACTCAGATTGACATGTGGGGTGTGGGCTGCATCTTCTATGAGATGGCCACAGGCCAGCCCCTCTTCCCGGGCTCCACGGTGGAGGAACAACTGCATTTCATCTTCCGCATCTTAGGAACCCCAACTGAGGAGACGTGGCCAGGCATCCTGTCCAATGAGGAGTTCAAGACCTACAACTACCCCAAGTACCGACCCGAGGCCCTTTTGAGCCATGCACCCCGACTTGATAGTGACGGGGCTGACCTCCTTACCAAGCTGCTGCAGTTTGAAGGTCGAAATCGGATATCCGCAGAGGATGCCATGAAACATCCATTCTTCCTCAGTCTGGGGGCGCGGATCCACAAACTTCCTGACACTACTTCCATATTTGCACTAAAGGAGATTCAGCTACAAAAGGAGGCCAGCCTTCGGTCTTCATCAATGCCTGACTCAGGCAGGTCAGCTTTCAGCATGGTGGACACCCAGTTCTAAATCACAGACCGAGGCCCCAGCAGGCAGTGGCTGGAGGGATGCCACACCCTTCACAGGGCAGCCCCCAACTACATCTTCCCTGCTTACTCTCTGCCTACCTGCCTGACCCATGTTCGCCTGCCCGCTTGTCCCCTGCTGCCTGCCCAAACACCCGACTATTAGCCTGTCAACCCACCCATTGGCCTGTCTGCTGGGTTTTAACATAGCACTCATCACTCCTTCAAAACAACAAAAAAATTAAACATATTGATATGAAAAATAATTATTCTAAATTAATAAAATAATAGAAGATGATGATAGATTAGGTAACTTGTTTCATAGACATGTGTCAGGCTGTTTTATTCAAAGGCCTGCAATCTAGATGAATTAAATAATAAAACGAACACGGGGCTAAGATGGAAGATTGAGGAATTCTAAGAATGCATATGAAAAGACAGACAAATAGAGAGGTAAAAGTAAATGTCCATCTCCAAGGAGTTGCATGAGGACAGTGAAGACAGAACACAGGGAGAGAAAATGATCAAAGAAATAACAAAAAAATGTTTCCTAGAATTCAAGATTCAGGGCCCAATAAATGCTAAAAAATGGTACGTAAAAAGATCCCCAACTAAACATACCCTTTTTTAAAACCTCAGGACTTCAAGGAAAAAACAAAACAAAACCCAGAAAATGCTAAAAGTTTCTAAACAGAAAAGCCAGGTTATGTGCAAATAAATGAGAATTATATTGACAATGAACAACTAATTAGCAATATTACAAATCTTCAATATCTTCAAATTTTGGGTAAAATGTGATTATGAAATTATAATTTTTACTCAGCCCATTATTTAAGTCAATAAAATACATAATTAGGCCAGGTGTGGTGCTTCATGTCTGTAATCCCTGCTCTTTGGGAGGCTAAGGCGAAGGGATTGCTTGAGCTCAGGAGTTTGAAACCATTGTGTGCAACATGGCAAAACCCTCTCTCTACAAAATAGAAGGCAAAACAAAAAAAACCCCAAACTGCAAAACAATAGTTAGTTGAATCAACTGTCGAAACATAAAAGAAAAAAAACAAAACTCTACAATAACAGTATGGAGTCAAAACCCCACAAATAAAATATATTTTTAAAAAGCAAGAATTAGCTTCAGAGGAAAAATAAAAAAGGAACGATAATCATACTGTACTACTTGACTCTATAGTGAATAACTAGTTACAAAGTCAAAGCGATGTAAGCATTAATCACTGACATGACTCTAACATAAATTCTTGGGAGGCTAGGCATTTGGGGAGGTAACATAAAAAAACTACATCTTCATCTATAAGAAAGTCAATAGAAATTATAAAATATTGATAAATTGAAAATAACAGTATATCACAATACAATAAATTTAAATTTAGATGATACTGTGGTGCCATTTTCTACCTGTTACACTAGCACAAGCCCAAGGTCTGAAGACACACATTGCTCGTGAGTGTAAACTGATATGGACAGACATTTTGACAATTATCAATCAATGTCATAAATGTATGCACTCAGTATTCCAGCTTAGAACTTTACTCCTCAGATTTCTAGGCATAGTTTGTAAAATGACATTTACATGAGACTGCTCACTTTGTAAAGGCCAATGACCAAAACATGAGCTACAAACATGAAAGAAACTTCATTGTGCACCTTTTATATTTATTTATTTGTTTTATTTTTTATTTTTTGAGATGGAGTCTCACTCTGTCGCCCAGGCTGCAGTGCAGTGGAGCCATCTCGGCTCACTGCAACCTCCGCTTCCCTGGTTCAAGCGATTCTTCTGCCTCACCCAGCTAATTTTGTGTATTTTTAGTAGAGATGGGGTTTCATTGTGTTAGCCAGGATGATCTCAATCTCCTGACCTTGTGATCTACCCGCCTCAGACTCCCAAAGTGTTGGGATTACAGGTGTGAGCCACAAATATTTATTTTTTAACATGTGAATGCATTTATTGTTTACATGAAAGAGAAAAATAACTATATAAACATACTGTCTGGAGTAGGAAGACAAATCCAATAAGGAGCTAGAAAGATGAAAATTGAGTGCCTTTGGGAAGCCACATTGTGGCTGATGGAGCAGCAGAGCCAGGTAACAGGAACATTTTTATTATGAGTTGTCCATACAACTTGTTTTACCCAGGTGTGTGTATTACTCTGTTTACAAATTTCAAAAGTAATGGCAAAAACAAAAAAATGACAAAAGAAAAACAGGGCAGTTTGTGGCAGTTACATCACAAAATGGGCTGAAATGATTAAATGGATTTTAAAGGATATTGCTTCAACACCCGTAATATACAGTAGTTGGAAATGGCTAGTGGTTATAGAAATTGTAGGTATATGAAAATCAGTGGGGGAGGAATTTTACGAAAGATGCATTTTCATAAGCAGTAATGAAAGTGTGATGTTAGCTTTTTAAAAAATGTTTAAAATATGAAGAATGAGGCCGGGCACGGTGGCTCATGCCTGTAATCCCAGCACTTTGGGAGGCTGAGGTGGATGGATCACTTGAGGTCAAGAGTTCAAGATCAGCCTGGCCAACATGGCAAAACCCAGTCTCTAATAAAAATACAAAAAACAGCTGGGCATGGTGGTGGGCACCTGTAGTCTCAGCTACTCAGGAGGCTGAGACAGAAGAATTGCTTGAACCCAGGAGGTGGTACTTACAGTAAGCCAAGATTGTGCCACTGCACTCTAGCCTGGGTGACAGAGTGAGACTTCGTCTAAAAGAAGAGGAAAAGAAAATATGAAGAATGAGTGTATAACATTAGGAGAAAATACTGACATGAGAAAAGGGGTCCTTTTATAGGGAGTTAACATGGCAGAAAAAAGCTCTAACACACACTGCATAAAATAGCAAATTAAAAATGCACACAGTGCAATCCCATAAAATTTTAATACATATAATATACATACATAAGTATAGAGTACATAGAAAGTGATTTTATTTCATATTATACTGTGTTTCTGAGACTTTTATATCTTACCTGTATAAAAGAAAAATGTTGAACAACTATATTCCATTTTATGTCAATAAAAATGAAAACTTAGAGCAGAGCTTGAAACTGGAAGCCCATCTCCTACTTCATTTTTGTCTACCTATAAACCATTCTCTACAAAGCAGTCACAGTGATACTGGGTCAATCAGAGCACACCATTCCCTGATCCAATGGCTGCCCACTAAAGATAAATCCACTTTTTTTTTTTTTTTGAGATGGGGTCCCATGCTGTCTTTTAGGCTGGAGTGCAGTGGCGCTATCTCAGCTCACTGCAACCTCCACCTCCCCACTCAAGCGATTCTCCCACCTCAGCCTCTCAAGTAGCTGGGATTACAGGCATGTGCCATAACGCCTGGCTAACTCGTTGCCATAAATCCACTTTTTCCCAGTGCCTTCAATGCCATAACTGGGCCAGGCCCTGCCCACCACCTCTTCTCAGTCTGTTCTTACATGCACCCTGTGGGTCTACCACATTCCTCCTTACAGGTCTTTGGGTCTCTTGTGTGTTTCTCATTGCCTGGAATGTTCTTCCCCTCCCTAGCCACCTGCTTAAACTATTGATCCCTTAGCTCCCAGTTTAATGTCACTTCAGAGGCTCTCCCTAAGACACATTCGCAACCCGCATCCCATCACATGCCTTCGATCTCTTAGTGTTCCATCCTTCATAGGACTTACCAACTGTATAGTAATACTCCAAAGAATTACATCATAAATGATGTTTAAGGGAGATGTTACTTGCAACATCTAACTTGAGCTTGAAAAACAATGGCAACAATCTAATTTTTACTCTATTTCATGCATTAGATAGACTCATTTTAGGGCAGTATCTGTGGGATCTAGGAGTGTTAATAAATTTAAAAGAAATTAAAGTTAAAAAAGAATTGGTGGGAAATTTTAGACACTGAGGATGAGAAGAGAAACTTTTCTGAGACAGGGTCTCACTCTGTCGCCTAGGCTGCAGCCTGGAGATCTTCGCGCACTGTAGCATCAACCTCCCTGGCTCAGGTGATCCTCCCACCTCGGCCTCCCACTTATTAGCTGGAACTACAGGCATGTGCCATCAGGCCTGAGTAATTTTTTATACTTTTTGTAGAGGGCGTTTTGTCATGTTGCCCAGGCTGGTCTCCAGCCCCTGGGCTTAAGTGATCCTCCTACCTCTGCCTTCCAAAGTGTTAGGATAACAGGAAGGAGACACTGCGCCAGGCCCAAGAGAAATTTAATACGGTCATGGCTTGTTTCTAAACTAGGAGACAGGAACAACTTTAATACTGACAAAAATGGGAATATAAGAAAGGAACTTAAAAAGGAAAAGAATTTTAAGCTTATCAAAATAGAAAGGAGAGTTGAACAGCACTAAATGTTTAACAACAGCTCCTCCTACAAGTGGACATATATAGCATGCATTCTCAGGGGCAATAATGTCCCCAAGGGGTGAGAATTGGTTTGTAGGGGGGACAATAAATCTTTATCTTTTTAATTTTCCTTTTTTTTGAGATGCCGTCTCACTCTATTGCCCAGGCTGGAGTGCAGTGGTGTGATTTCGGCTCACTATAACCTTTGCCTCCCAGGTTCAAATGATTCTCCTGCCTCACCCTCCAGAGTAGCTGGGATTACAGGCATCCGCCATCATGCCTGGCTAATTTTTGTATTTTTAGTAGAGATGGGGTTTCGCCATGTTGGCCAGGCTGGTCTTGAACTCCTAACCTCAGGTGATCTGCCCACCTCAGCCTCCCAAAGTGCTGGGATTACAGGCATGAGCCACTGTACCTGGCTGAACAAATCTTACATATTATGCTTGTTTGGGACCCACAAAAACAATTCTACCTAACAAAATCTTATTCCTTTATATGTAATTTCTCTAAAGGAGAAATTTAATTTGTCTCCTTTTGGCAGGGAGAGAGTAATGATGAAGAACAAGGCTGAGAAACACTGATGATATAGTGACTTAAAACCAAAGAGTCCTTTGGGATTTCACATTAGAAAAAAGACAGAAGCCAGAGAATCTGCAGGGAAGAGGACTAAGAGACACGCTGGAGGAAACAGAAAAACTATTTCATACATGACAAAGAATTTCAAGAGAAGGTCACCACTATAGAAGCCATCAGTAAAACTGATAAGAGTAAATATGCTGAAAGAAAAATTTAAAAAGGAACAAACTGAAAGAGACAAAAGTTCAGTGGTAACCTCCAAGGGGGCAATTTTGTTATAAGAAGGGAGCA